AATCATGGGCAAAACTAGCCACTGTTGTCCCTCTAGCTATGGGGAAGCTATTCATGGCTGACCCCACAATACGTACATAACATGGTCGGAGGTCATGCAAATTATCACTCTTCTACACAATGGGACAAAATTACCGATCGCTAGTAATCTTGACTCATAACTCATATTTTCTATGTCTTATGTGTTAATAGGTATCGTCAGCCAACAAAGCTTGGCTCGGGACAACAATATCGCAATACACACCCATATCACTTGTTTCTCATTCTAGCGCAACGCCAGCCATGTACAATAGCAATATACTGACGCTCGCCATGGCTAGCAAACAAATGGGAGTAGTGAACATTCATTCACATAGCCCCCTTTAATACACAAGGGCATTCCCTTCTTCACTACATATATATATATATATATACGTTTCTTATGGTTATATACTTGAATATATATTCACATGTGCATTGCTGTTGTTGTAGATAAACACAAGCCCATGAATCCAAGCTCATGGGAATTACTCGGGATAAACTATGGGAGTAATGGCTTGGTAGGCATGGATGGATAAACATTGCCCGTCTAGCGAAGCAAGGCATTCGCGCCAGCGAAGCTTGGCACTGGCGATGCTACCCGACTTCGCCAGAAAGGGCTGGGTGGCAGAGACGTGGAAGTAAACTTGATTCCCGAAACAGTACCATTTGATGCTAACCAAAGGCTGGAAATCGCGCTAAAAACTAACCAAAGATGTTGTCTTGGTCACCATCAACAACTTGCAGCCATATTTAATGCAAGGGTGGCTGCACAAGTTCCATCACCTTGAAAATTGCTGCAAAAGATTACTATTTACTTGCAGAATCTTCCAAAATCTCATGCAAAGCTTGGAGAACCTACCAAATCCTGTGCAGGTGTTGTGTTTTGCCGGTTGTACTCAAGCACCTCCCTAAAGATGGGATTTCGTATGGTTGGAGGCATTGCCAGAAATATACAATTACCAGTTCTTCGCTAGAACCAGTGAAGCTTTGTTGGAACCATTGGGCAATTCATGATGCCACTATCATAGAGCTGTCAGCAATGCCTGGCGCCACCGAAAATTTGACAGCTCACCCAAACCTATCTGCACATCTCTAAGCCATCAACTAGAAATTACAACAATGCCACTGCCTATATATTATCTACCCTTCATTTTCCAAAATATATATGCGCATGCAGCATAAGAACAGCTTTTTACACACAAAAAAAACTTCAGCCTTTCTTCCTCACATACCAAAACTCCCATTTTTCCTCTAAAACATATTCCATCTTCAACCTACTACCCTACACACTAAAACCACCCAGAAATCACCATTTTTCTCTGATTTCTTGTGTCTCTAGCTCTGCAGAGCATTTTCTAGCACTACAGAACATTTTCCAACATTGCAAAATATCACCCAGCACTATAGAACATTTCCAGATTTGCAGGATATTATGGCTAGGAAACAACATGTTGCAGTTTCAGTTTCCAGGTAGTTCTTCTTGAGCATCAAACGATCAAGGTTGCAAGGTTAGCATCAAAAACAAGGTCAAGTGCTCCATTCATAAGCTCCCAAGCGGTCACCCTTCTTTCTCCCATCACCACTCTCAAGTTTGTCCTTTTGTCTTTGGAAGAATTTCAAAAGTGGAGTTGTTGCAACTTTTGTTTTCAATATGAGGATTATTCGTTATAGAGTAAAGATATGCACTAGATATGAAAGAGGTCACATTTATTGTCGGCAAAATACCCAAATCCACCCCCAAAATATAGTGGCAGGGACGGATCCACCCTTGAACAAAAAACGGGGACAAATCCACCCACAAAGTTTTCGACTTGGACAAATCACCCCAAATTTAACGTGTGACATCATTTGACATCAGCAATACGTTAATTCGTTAACGGATTGCTGACGTCAAATTAACAGATTGCTGATGTTAAATGACGTCACACGTTAAATTTGGGGTGATTTGTCCAAGTCGAAAACTTTGTGGGTGGATTTGTCCCCGTTTTTTGTTCGATGGTAGATCCGTCCTTGCCACTATACTTTGGGGGTGGATTTGGGTATTCTGCCTTTATTGTCATTATTATCATGTTACAATGATTTATATATGAATATGATTCTCAAGTTGTAATTTTTGAACCACATGTATTTTCCATCTTTGTTGTCCCTCCTTAACAATGTGCAACTTCTCCCCATCATGTTTTTGATAGTCGTGTAATCATCTTGAACCCTTGGAGCCCCGCCATTGCTGCCCAACTCTATCGGCTTGTCTGGAAGATTT